TAGTCCGGTTCAGTCCATCAGTGGTTTCAGGTCATGGTTTAGTGGATCCAGGTCAAGAGCGGTCTCTGTGAGAGAGAGGAAGAGGAAATATGGCGGCCATATCCTGCCGCTCTTTGTTTGTTTGTTTGCTCTCGATGTTGCTTCTAATTAGCGGCGCTGCGATGTGCTGCCAGGACGCCTGAGCTCTTCTGAGCGCGCTCAGTATCCACAGCGAGTAGCTCTGTCAGTCTTTTTATGATTTTAAACCTAATTGTAAATTTATTGGGGTGTGTGTGTGTGTGTGTGTGTGTGTGTGCTGTTTGAGTTTAATCTATTTCCTGATCAGTGATCAATACTTTGATTCAGTCCGATGTGTGTCGCTGTGTTCTGGGCATGCTCAGTGCGTTAGCTCCTCCTCTCTGTGTGTCAGGTGATGAACATGGACGGGACGGGCCGACGGGTGCTGGTGGAGGACAAACTTCCTCACATCTTTGGGTTCACTCTGCTGGGCGACTTCATCTACTGGACGGACTGGCAGCGGCGCAGCATCGAGCGCGTCCACAAACACACGGCGGAGAGAGAGTTCATCATCGACCAGCTGCCCGACCTCATGGGCCTCAAGGCTACCTACGTCCACCAGGCCTTCGGTGAGTACTGATCCCGGTCCGGACCCCTGTAATGCTTGTGTAGGAGGAGCCCGGCTAACCTGTGGCTCCGCCCCCTCAGGTACGAACCCATGTGCAGAGAACAACGGCGGCTGCAGCCACCTGTGCCTCTACAAGCCTCAGGGCGTTCAGTGCGGCTGTCCCATCGGCCTGGAGCTCATTGTGGACATGAGGACCTGCATCGTCCCCGAGGCCTTCCTGCTCTTCTCCCGCCACACCGACATCCGCCGCATCTCCCTGGAGACCAACAACAACAACGTGGCCATCCCGCTCACCGGCGTCAAGGAGGCGTCCGCGCTCGACTTCGACGTCACCGACAACCGAATCTACTGGACCGACATCACCCTGAAGGTCAGTGTCTGTCTGTCTGTCTGTCTGTCTGTGTCTGTCTGTATGTATGTGTGTCTGTCTGTCTGTCACATACAGTCATGGGTCAGATCTCTGGTCCTGGTCTCATGTGTTCTCTCCCGTCCCCCCTGCAGACCATCAGCCGGGCCTTCATGAACGGCAGCGCTCTGGAGCACGTGGTGGAGTTTGGTCTAGACTACCCGGAGGGGATGGCGGTGGACTGGCTGGGAAAGAACCTGTACTGGGCCGACACTGGCACTAACCGCATCGAGGTGGCCAAACTGGACGGGCAGCACCGGCAGGTCCTAGTCTGGAAGGATCTGGACAGCCCGCGAGCTCTGGCTCTGGATCCGGCTGAAGGGTGAGGACCGTAGGAGGCACAGTGAAACTGGATTGATCCGACTGTGTGTGTGCTGACCCTGTTCCTGTCCACAGGTACATGTACTGGACCGAGTGGGGTGGGAAGCCGAAGATCGACCGGGCGGCGATGGACGGGACGGGACGGATCACGCTGGTGGCCGATGTGGGTCGAGCCAACGGACTCACCATCGACTACGCCGAGCGGCGCCTGTACTGGACCGACCTGGACACCACGCTCATCGAATCGTCCAACATGCTCGGTGAGAACCGCTTCACAACGCCAGCGTTCATCAGAGCAGCTGTTTCCTGATTTTGATTCACATTAATAATCAGACTTGATTTCATCCTGACGCCATCTTGTTGTAGCTTCTTCTTCTGGTTGTCTGACGGGAGATTCAGCCACCTGCTGCTCGTCTCTAATAATCACATAACGTCTGTCTTTGTGTTCTTCAGGTCAGGACCGTGAGGTGATCGCCGATGACCTGCCTCACCCCTTCGGCCTCACCCAGTACCAGGACTACATCTACTGGACGGACTGGAGCCAGCGCAGCATCGAGCGGGCCAACAAGACCAGCGGGCAGAACCGCACCGTTATCCAGGGACACCTGGACTACGTCATGGACATCCTGGTGTTTCACTCGTCCAGACAGGGCGGCTGGAATGCCTGCGCCTCCACCAATGGACACTGCTCCCACCTCTGCCTCGCCGTCCCCGTCAGCAGCTTCGTCTGCGGCTGCCCCGCCCACTTCTCCCTCAACTACGACAACAAGACCTGCAGCGGTGAGACCCCCGAAAACCTGTTCAGCACCTGAAACATGATCAGCCTGATCATCAGGAATCAATTCTCTCATTATTAAAGCATTAATCAATCTAATACCATCAGACAACATTATCAGCCTTTAGCAGTTAGCTAGTGTTTCTGTAGTGGAGACTAAACGTTAACAATGATCCATATTATATATACGGACATATATATATATATTAGGGATGGGGCCGATCCGATCCCGTATCGGTATCGGGACCGATACCAGCGTAATTCACGTATCGGAATTTCCCGATCCAACCTGCGCAGATTTCCGATATCAATGAGCCATCTGTGCGTTAACGTTGTCTGCTGACTGACTCCACAGGTGATTCCTGCCGGCCAGTCTGCTAGCTGGCTGCAAACTGTGGAATGGATTTCCTGAACGGAGGTGCGGCTCAATGAGACACAGAGTTATGAGACACGCCTCCGCTCAGGAAATCCATTCCACAGTTTGCAGCCAGCTAGCAGGATAGCATTGAGCAGCATTGTGGCTAGCCAACATGCCCGCTGTATGGAAATACTTTACACTGGAAACAGAGCAAGACAATGCAATGTTTGCAAAGCCGTAATTCAGAGACGCGGAAGCTCCCTCGCGTCGTACAACACTACGAACGCAACTAAACATTTAAAAAAGCACCACACGAAACAGCGCGAGGATTTTTTAGGCGAGCTGTCAGGAATCACTTCTGGAGTCATTCCAAAAACAAGGTAAACTCCAGGCAGACAACGTGAAAGCTAAAGGGATTACCGAGTGTGTGTGTGTGTGTGTGTGTGTGTGTGTGTGTGTGTGTGTGTGTAGATGTTTACAGTTATTGCACTTTTCTTATATTTCAGATAATTGACATTTTAAAACCTTGATTTATTGATACTACAAGAGCCAGTGTACTTGATCTGTGCTGTTCAGATGCACACTGTTTTATTGATAGTGTGTGTGTAAGATGTTTACACTTATTGCACTTTTCAAGACTCAAATATTTGACATTTTGGGAATTTAATAAATATTGACATGACAATCAATTTGAAACCCTTACAGTTGCATATTTGTTTTCAGAATGGGATTTTTCCTGTTAACAGGATTTCCTGTTTTTCTGACTTCCTTTTCTGACCTTATACTTACCTCAAGTTGCCTTTTGGGACATACATGCATACATACGTACATATGTTGAGGAGTTTATTCATATTATCTCATATAAAATCAATAATGATAATAATAATATTAAAGAAAACAGAGCTCTGGTATCGGAGTAGTATCGGTATCGGCCGATATCCAAATTCAGGTATCGGGATCGGATCGGAAGTGAAAAATTGTGGATCGGTGCATCCCTAATAAATAAATAAATAAATAAATAAATAAATAAAATATAATATAAATAAATATATATATATATATATATATAACATATATATATATACATATATATACATATACATATATATATATATACATATACATATATATACATATACAAATATAATATACATATATATATATATACATATATAATATATATATATATATATATATATATATATATATATATATATATATATATACAGTGTATTCTGATCAATATCATCAATAAAGATACAGTGTATACTAATCAATATGATAAATATCTCTGTCTCTGTAGCTCCGACCTCCTTCCTATTGTTCAGTCAGAAGACGGCCATTAACCGGATGGTTATTGACGAGCAGCAGAGTCCAGATATAATTCTTCCCATTCACAGTCTGAGGAACGTCAGAGCCATCGACTACGACCCACTGGACAAACAGCTGTACTGGATCGACTCCAAGCAGAACGTCATCCGCCGCGCTCAGGAAGACGGGAACCAGGTGAGTCTACCTCAGCTGTCTGTCTGTGAGCTGTCTGTCTGTGAGCTGTCTGTCTGTGAGCTGTCTGTCTGACCCGTCTGTCTGTCTGACCCGTCTGTCTGTCATCCTCAGAGTATGACGGTGGTGTCGAGCTCTCTGGGCGGACCCAATCAGGGTCTGCAGCTGTACGACCTGAGCATCGACATCTACAGCCGCTTCATCTACTGGACCAGCGAGGTGACCAACGTCATCAACGTCACCCGCACCGACGGCAGCAGGGTCGGCGTGGTGCTGCGAGGAGAACACGACAAACCCAGAGCCATCGTCGTCAACCCGGAGAGAGGGTCGGTATCCAGAACCACACCAGACTCCACTCACAAAACCACTGATTTTAGAAAACCAAATAAAACTTTACTTTCCACATTGGTACACATGTTTTAATTCCTGAAGTGGATCTGTAAGTTCTGTTAGTTCTGTAAGTTCTGGGAGATCTGGTAGTTCTGGTAGTCCTGGGAGATGAATACACAGAGATGGATCTCGTTTCAGTTTGTCAGATTTGTTCCTTATTTCTGGAAACGTGTCAGAGCTTCCGATAAAAGACAGCAGTTGTTTTCTCTGTTGTTTGTCCTCTCGTTTGGAACCGTGGTCGCAGGGTTCCTTCGGTTCTTCAGAAACTGACCCTCCTCACTGTCTGCAGGTACATGTACTTCACCAACCTGCTGGAACGCTCTCCGAAGATCGAGCGGGCGGCGCTGGACGGCACCGAGCGAGAGGTTCTGTTCTTCAGCGGTTTGGGGAAACCCGTCGCTCTGGCCATCGATAACGAGGTGGGGAAGCTGTTCTGGGTGGACTCGGACCTGCGACGCATCGAGAGCAGCGACCTCTCTGGTGAGTCTGAAGGGTGGAAGCTGGACGGTAGAGATTCAGAGTTAGTTCATATTTAAGATCCATAATGAAACAGTTATTAGATTATAGCTGATCAATTATCAATAAAGGCTTTAAATGATTCCTTTATAATACTTCACTGTTAGTTTAAAGTTCTACATGCCGGTTCCTGATTGATACCAATATTATACAGTGAATTTTAAAATGAGTGTTTATCAATAAACTTTATGGACTTTATATAAACTATAAATCAGAAGCTTCAGTCTGGAATACGATGAAGATGATGAAGAAGGACTGAGTGAGACCTCTTCTTTTACCGGCTGCCCACCATCTGGTGTGTTAGGGTAAATCATCATAATCAATCAGTTTCCTGCCAGATAATCAATAAAAACCCACTTCAGAGTGAGTCTGTCCAACAATCACCAAATCTGGGTGATGAAGATGAAGATGACCTATTGAACAGACTCACTGATGATAAAACCAAAAACTTTAATTAAATTATATTTGACAAAGACAAAATCTGGTTTTAAACTGTTTAAGTCCAACAGAAGCTGACTACAACTCCCATGATCCCACGCTGCTTCACCACCTCGTCACACTTCCTGTTATTATTGGATGTCAGAGGCCCCCTGGTGGCAGAAACTGCTGCTGCGTCCTCAGAGACTCTTCATAGAATCACTTGATGATGTAATCAGATATATAAATATAATATAAATAATATAATATAAATAATATAAATAATATAATCTATATAAATGTGTTTCTTACTGACCTCAGTGTGTCCCTGTCCTCCTGCCTCCCATCCTGCCTCACCCTCAGTTTCTCACCCGTTCTGTTGCCTCTGTTCCTGAACTTTTTGCCCTCCAACCTTGTTTTGTTTTTGCCCCGCTGTGTTTGTTTGTTGTTTACGTTCAGGAGCCAATCGGATCGTGATCGCCGACTCCAACATCCTGCAGCCGGTGGGGCTGACGGTCTTCGGGAACCACCTGTACTGGATCGACAAACAGCAGCAGATGATCGAACGCATCGACAAGACCACAAGGGAGGGACGCACCAAGATCCAGGCCCGCATCACCTACCTGAGCGACATCCATGCCGTCCACGAGCTGGACATGAGGGAGTACAGTGAGTGACTGCATTCAGTGTTCATTCAGAGGAACACGTCCTCCCTCAGACTCACCTGACCTCTCTACTCCTGCAGGTAAACACCCGTGTACCTGGGACAACGGCGGCTGCTCCCACATCTGCATCGTGAAGGGAGACGGGACGACTCGCTGCTCGTGTCCCGTCCACCTGGTTCTGCTGCAGGACGAGCTCTCCTGTGGAGGTGAGAACCTCAAAGATCTTAAAGACCTTAAAGATCTCAAAGACCTCAAAGATCTCAAAGACCTCAAAGACCTCAAAGATCCAAAGACCTCAAAGATCCAAAGACCTCAAAGATCTAAAGACCTCAAAGATCTAAAGACCTCAAAGATCTTAAAGACCTTAAAGATCTCAAAGACCTCAAAGACCTAAAGACCTCAAAGATCTTAAAGACCTTAAAGATCCCAAAGATCTCTTACTGGGTTTTAAAGGCCAGAGTTTCACAGTGTCTTCTCCTCTTCCTCCTCCTCCTCTTCCTCTTCCTCCTCCTCCCCCCTCCTTCCCCCTCAGAGCCCCCAACCTGCTCTCCGGAACAGTTCTCCTGTACCTCGGGGGAGGTGGACTGCATCCCTCAGGCCTGGAGGTGTGACGGTTATCCCGAATGTGACGACAGCAGTGACGAGGAAAACTGTCCCGTCTGCTCCGAGTCGGAGTTCCAGTGTGACAGCCGACAGTGTATTGATCTGAACCTCCGCTGCAACGGAGAGATCAACTGTCAGGACCGGTCCGATGAGAACAAGTGTGAAGGTAATCAAGCATAGTGATCAGTATACACTAGGGATGCTCGATATTGGCTTTTCTGCCGATATCCGATATTCCAATATTGTCCAACTCTCAATGTCCGATACCGATATCTGCAGGCTTTTTACACCAAAACTGTAACAACATATCTCCTGTTGTGGAATTAACACATTATGCCCCATTTTATTGTGATGCCCCACTGGATGCATACATAAATGCAACATGGCTTTCCAAATCTAAACACTGTCTGTGCAAAATAAGAGAACAACTTCAACTTTCATTGTATTAATACTGAAAGTAGCGCTAACGCTAATCGCTAGCTAAGCGCTAGCTTTGGTTAATGTGTTTAATTGTATTATTCACCTGAAGGAGTGCTAATGTAAACTCTAAGCCAATTGTTAGTTTGGTTAAGGAACAGCTCAGAGCAGGGTGAAATATTAAAGGTGCATTGCACTTATTTTGTGTTAATATTAAAATCATTCAGCTTTAAATTGTTTGCTTGTTAGCCACGGTTAGCAACCAACCAGTCTAGTTGTTGTTGTTACGTCATCTAGCGCGCGCCAGTAAACGTCCCATGCTGCGTTCATGCAGGCTGGGAAATGCTGAAGCCATCAGAACAAACATCGGTTATAAAAACCCGATACCCATAATTCCCGATATTACATATTTTAGTGAATATCGTCCGATAATATCGGACCTCCCTAGTATACACTGTATCAATCATAGTGATCAGTTTACACTGTATCAATCATAGTGATCAGTTTACACTGTATCTTTATGGATGTTACTGATGCTGTATTGATGATATGGATGATATTGATGACATTGATGATATTGATTGGGTTAATAACGTCTCTTCCTGTCTGCAGTGCGTTGTCCTCCTGATCAATTCACCTGCTCTAACGGTCAGTGCATCGGGAAACATAAGAAGTGCGACCACAACATGGACTGTACAGACAACTCTGACGAGATTGGCTGCTGTGAGTGCGATCGGTTGATTGATCGATTGATTGATTTAGTTGTTTAGTATATTTTATATTTATTCCACATTAAAAGATAAACCGAACAAAAACTTTTCTTCTTCTGTGGTTTCAGACCCGACGGAGGAGCCTCCTCCCCCTCCCAACAACACCATCGGCTCCATCGTGGGCGTGGTCATGGCGTTGTTCGTGGTGGGCGCCGTGTACTTTGTGTGTCAGCGGGTCCTCTGCCCACAGATGAAGGACGACGGCGAGACGGTCACCAACGACTTTGTGGTTCACGGCCCGTCGTCGGTGCCGTTGGGATACGTGCCGCACCCCAGCTCGCTGTCCAGCTCGCTGCCAGGTGGGACGCACGCCGCCGCGCTCACGATGACACGTTTAAGGAATAATTATTGTTAATGTTTAATTTCTGATCTCATCAACAGGAATGTCCCGAGGGAAGTCTGTGATTGGCTCCCTCAGCATCATGGGCGGGAGCAGCGGGCCGCCGTACGACCGCGCTCACGTCACCGGAGCGTCGTCCAGCAGCTCGTCCAGCACCAAGGGAACCTACTTCCCCCCGGTGAGTGTAGCCCTTTACATCCTCCCAATCAATAATCAATACTGAATATTAACTGTTATTGGTAAATGGTAAATGGAGCTGTACTTGTATAATTTCCTTTCTAGTCTTTCGACCACTCAAAGCACTTTTACACTACAGACACATTCACCCTTTCACTCACACTTCACTCACAGTCCATCTAACAGAACCCAACAACCCCAACCCAACAGAACCCAACAACCCCAACCTAACAGAACCCAACCTAACAGAACCCAACAACCCCAACCTAACCTAACAGAACCTAACAACCCCAACCTAACAGAACCCAACAACCCCAACCCAACAACCGCAACCTAACAGAACCCAACAACCCCAACCCAACAGAACCCAACAACCCCAACCTAACAGAACCCAACAACCCCAACCTAACAGAACCCAACCTAACCTAACAGAACCTAACAACCCCAACCTAACAGAACCCAACAACCCCAACCCAACAACCGCAACCTAACAGAACCCAACAACCCCAACCCAACAGAACCCAACAACCCCAACCTAACAGAACCCAACAACCCCAACCTAACAGAACCTAACACTCACACACTCAGGAGCAATTCAGGGTTCAGGATCTTGCTCAAGGATACTTCGTCATGTGGCACCAGGAGCCGGGGATCGAACCCACAACCTTCTGATTAAGGAACGACCCGCTCTGCCTCTGAGCCACAGCCGCCCTTTATTATTGATCTAATGAAGCGTTTCCATTCATGTTGTTGTTGTTTGTTTGTTGTTTACAGATCCTGAATCCTCCTCCGTCTCCTGCTACAGTTCGCTCTCAGTACACCATGGAGTTCGGTTATTCCTCCAACAGCCCGTCAACACACCGATCATACAGGTACTCTTCATCTTCATCTTCATCTTCATCCACTCCTCTTGTCCCTCTGTCAGGACTCTTCTCCTGTAGAGACAGACAGACAGACAGACAGACAGACAGACAGAGAGAGAGAGAGAGAGAGAGACAGACAGAGAGAGACAGACAGAGAGACAGACAGACAGACAGAGAGAGAGAGAGAGAGAGAGAGAGAGAGAGACAGACAGAGAGAGACAGACAGAGAGACAGACAGACAGAGAGAGACAGACAGACAGACAGACAGAGACAGACAGACAGACAGACAGACAGAGAGAGACAGACAGACAGAGACAGACGACAGAGAGACAGAGACAGACAGACAGACAGAGACAGAGACAGACAGACAGACAGACAGACAGACAGAGAGACAGAGACAGACAGACAGACAGACAGAGAGACAGAGAGACAGACAGACAGACAGACAGATACATTCAAATAAAATAAAAAACTTAGAAAGATAAAAAAAAGATTAAGTAACATCTTAAGTTAGCTAAACGCAAGCTAGCTAGTGTTAGCTGGTGTTAGCTGGTGTTAGCTGGTGTTAGCTGGCCGTTAATAAATGCTAATGATTGTTGTTTGTGTCTGTCAGCTACCGGCCGTACACCTACCGCCACTTTGCCCCTCCCACCACCCCCTGCAGCACCGACGTCTGCGACAGCGACTACACTCCGGGACGCAGGGTGCCGCTCAAGTCCGGCGCCACAGTCTCCTCCGCCGCCGCCAAGGGCTACACCAGCGACCTCAACTACGACTCGGAGCCTTTCCCGCCGCCGCCGACGCCCCGCAGCCAGTACCTGTCGGCGGAGGAGAACTGCGAGAGCTGCCCGCCGTCGCCTTACACCGAGCGCAGCTACTCCCACCACCTCTACCCGCCGCCGCCGTCGCCCTGCACGGACTCCTCGTGAGCCGCCAGCTCCGCCCCCTCACTGTAAATAGCAATTGTGCATATATGAGGTTAAAAACGGGAAGAGAGACTGAACCAGGAGGACGAATAAAGGAAACATTTGTACATTGAAAAAGAGAAAAGCATATTTATATATTTTCTACAGTGTTTACTGACGACGCCGCAGAGTTTGTATCCACACTTTGTACATTTTATAGGAAAAGGTTTTATTAAAATCATCACAAATATAAGTTGCCTTAACGCGGAGACGAGAGGCTGAAGGACAGGAAGCACACGATGGACTGAACAAACCAAATATGAAACCATCAGCAGCTGCAGGAGGAGGCTCCACCCCCACGGCGGCGGCGGCGGCGGCGGGCGGCGGCCATCTTGTGTCTGTGGTTACCATGTGAACTGGAGGAGGACGCGGTACCGGGTGTTTGACCTCCTGGGAACGGTCGTAGGATCCGCTGTGGATGTGAGTCGTGTTATCAAGAAGCAATAAGGCACATATTTATTAGCCAATCAGAGGAGAGTATTGACGAGGCTGCGGGGATCAATACGGTTGATTACACACTACGGAGTTCCTGAAGGGACACACAACCTCCTGACAATCCGCCTCTACACTACAAACGGAACAATGTACGGAGGCCCAGGGGGGACAAACACTTTCTGATGTAACATGACTCACATCCTCGAAATCATCGAGTTCAGTCGGATTTAAACCAAAACAAACGCTTGTGTTTGACTTTCTGTTAACACCTTGTTTTATTAATTAACCCTCACATACGGAGGAAGCAGCGATCTTGTGCCTGACCAGTCTTCACTTCCTGTTTTATTTTTACTTTGAGGAAAAAAAGAAACACAAAGGAACCCAGTGCCCACTAAATGCTCTATAGTATTTTTGTACCACATATTGTGTAGATATCGTATTTATAAGCTATATAGAAATCATTGTAAATCTATCATCGCAGTACTTTTCATTCCGTCTTTTTTTATATTGCCTCATTATATTTTTCTACAGAATCCGAACGTACGGCGACAATCTCAGATCAGTCCAATCGAAGAACATATCCAGGTTTTCAGTGTCTGTTCATGTAAAGGAAGGACTGTTGTGCCAAAATAATCTTTTTTTTTTTTTTAAACCGCGGAGGAGGCGGAGAGGCCGGGACCAGCGGACGAGCGCCAGGCGGCGTCCGCTCTGTTGTTGTTGTTTTTGTTGTAAATCTGTTTCCTCGTGACGAGCAGAATCTTTTTTTTCGAGATGATTTGTTTCGTCGTCTGATCGAAACGTTTCCTGTCGAAGAGAAAAATAACACCAGCATGAATCTGACAATCTTTTCACGTCCGTTTATTAGTGTTTCTAACATCTCGTCTTTTGCTTTTTTAAACATTGCAAGCACAAAAACAACATCTGTCTTAACGAGGCATTTTATTCTTTTCATTAAAAAACTTTTTCTGTTCTAGAAAAACTGAAAATCCTTGAAACAAAGATTTAGTTTAATCTAAAAAACACTGAATTATACGGGGCTGGGTGTCGTTATCATCTCACTATACGTAAAACATACCTGAAACTTGAAAATTTAATTGAACATAAAAAAACAATTTCTTTGATCAAACTTTCAGATTTTCAGTAATAAAATATATTTATATCTTCGATACTCAGCCTCCGTATTCTGCAGGACGTTATTATTCAATTTAAACATCCTATTGATTTCAACTTGTTTCAAGAGAATTTTTTTAGGACAGAAAAGGGCTAAGTCCCGCCCCCTTTTTGCTCTGTGCTCCAATCACAGTTAGGAGCCAATAGGGGCGGGGCTTAGGAAGGATCAATATATGGAGCCAACGAAGTTCTGAAAGATATTTTTGTAGTTTTTAACTTGTGCACAAACTCGTTATCTAAAGTTTGTTTGTTCACAAGGTTTTAACTTTTGCTCACAAGTCAAATTATTATTGATAAACTTATCTTTATCTTATTTTGTGCGCACAAGATATAAAAATATTGTGTCCGTGGACTTTAGGGGCTTCCGTAGCGGATCTGTTCGGGATAAAGGTGAAATGATGTTTTTACAGTGTAATATTGTGCATAAATTAAAAACAGTCTTGTTTTATCTGAACAGAATCTCAAACCACCGAAACCAGTGACGGTGCCAGAAGTCCAGTTTGTGTCGGACCAGGACATAAATATGTGTTTTTTTGGCTCCCTGCTGCCTCCGTACATCCTCAGCTACCTGTGGTACAATCATCATTTCACATTGTTCACCTGCGCACATACACTACAAACAAACAAACAAACATTTTGGAGACGTTCTCATTCTCTAACTGCACTTTACAGGACTTTTATTTTGAAATGATTTCTGGTACAGAACTGGTGGTTGTCGAGCAGCCGGAGGGAAGTTGTGCAACGTTTGACCGACTGAGGAGGTTTTTCACTTTCATCTTTAGATCGTATCGATCGTCTGCTCGCTGTCGGGACTTTAAATCATCCGAAGGCTCTGTTTACCTCGTCTGCTCCCTCCGATTAATAACATACTTATTATAAACTATAAGTTTTAATTAATTGACTCAAAAATCTGTTTATTAAGAGACAAAATTATTAATTGTACAGAATGAATTTAGGACTTGATTTCATATTTTTAAGGTACATATTAATAATTTGAGTGAACCAGTGAATATGAATTTCTAAATTCAATATTGACACTGATTAGTTTTATCTATGGAACCCCTGAAAGGCAAGTTTTTAATTTTCTTTTTTCGTCTATGAAAGGTGATCATTTATTTTATTTTTTTTTCCATCTGTGAAAACGGGTTAAAAAGGGAAAAACTTTTTTCAAGATCATTTTTCTAAAAAAAATATTGACAAAATCTCTTAAAAGATTTTTTTTCACCAAAGAAGGGAAAAAAAACTTGAACTTTCCTTTCAGAGCTTCCGTAGAAGAAGAGTTTTGAGTTTTTCCGACTCGTTTTCCGATTTCTTACTTTAAGAAATTAAATTGATTAAACTGATTAATTTAATCTGGATATTTTGGGGCCGGAGATATAAAACAAAGATCTGCTGGCTCCGAATATATTGGCATATTTTTGAGGACGGACGTATTGAAACCGTTTCGGTGGGTTTCAGTTGGATACCGGAGCTTTCTACCCTGAGCGGTGGTTTTCCTCCCGACGCGACAGACGAACGTCTGCAGTGAAAGTTTTGTACAGGTTGAAACGAACGTGGGAGGAAAAGGTTTGAAGGAAGTGGAAGTGTAAAAAGGTTGAAAAGGTTTTTGTTAAAAGCACTTTTGACTCCAGGTTTTTTCTCGGAGGTTCGACAGGAAACAGAAGTTTGTGTCGTTGTTTTTATGAAATGTTGTCGTTGATCCGTTCTGCTCTCATGGTGCTCTGCGTTTTTATACGATGACTGCTTTACCTGAACACCAGATGGACCTGTACAGCCCATCAGCTGCCACCATAAGCTGTTGTAACTCATCAAATGCTGATTTTTTCTTTTTGTTAAATATAAAGTGAGTGAACTTTTCCACTTTGTGTCTGTGTGCTGATCAATAATATTTAATATTAATCACTTTACAGTGTGTGTGTGTGTGTGTGTGTGTGTGTGTGTGTGGGGGGGGGGTTAGGGTTAGCAGTAAGTCTATAGTCCTTTAAAGTAGCTGTAATTAAACCCCTTCTTAAAAAGTCCACTCTTGACCCAGGGGTTTTAGCCAACTATAGACCAATCTCTAACCTCCCCTTCCTCTCTAAGATTCTGGAGAAAGTAGTCGCCAAAGAGTTGTGTGACTTTCTACATAACAATAGTTTATTTGAGGATTTTCAGTCAGGATTTAGAGTTCATCATAGCACAGAGACAGCTCTGGTTAAAGTTAATAATGACCTTCTGACTGCTTCTGACAATGGACTTGTCTCTGTACTTGTATTATTAGATCTTAGTGCTGCATTTGACACCATTGACCATAATATTCTTTTACAGAGACTTGAGCATCAAATTGGCATTAAAGGAACCGCACTAAGCTGGTTTAAGTCATATTTATCAGATCGCTCGCAGTTTGTACATGTTAACGATGAATCTTCAATAAATACTACAGTTAGTCATGGAGTTCCACAAGGTTCTGTACTTGGACCAATACTATTTACTTTATATATGCTCCCTTTAGGCAACATTATTAGGAATCACTCCATTAACTTTCACTGTTATGCAGATGATACGAAGTTATATCTATCGATCAAGCCCGATGAAATGAATCAATTATCTAAATTACAAACATGTCTTACGGACATAAAATCCTGGATGACCTGCAATTTTCTGATGTTAAACTCAGAAAAAAACGAAATTCTTGTTCTTGGCCCCAAAAACCTTAGAGACTCACTGTCTAAAGATATAGTTCCTCTAGATGGCATTAACTTGGCCTCTAGCACCACTGTCAGGAATCTTGGAGTTATCTTTGATCAGGATTTGTCATTTAACTCCCACATGAAGCAGACCTCTAGGACTGCCTTCTTTCATTTACGTAATATTAGAAAAATTAGACACATACTATCACAGACAGATGCAGACTAATCCATGCATTTGTTACTTCAAGGCTGGATTACTGCAACTCTTTATTATCAGGTTGCCCCAATAAGTCCATTAAAACGCTCCAATTAATTCAGAACGCTGCAGCACGAGTACTGACAGGAACTAGAAAAAGAGATCACATCTCTCCTGTACTAGCTACTCTGCATTGGCTCCCTGTAAAATGTAGAATAGAATTTAAAATCATCCTCCTCACCTATAAAGCTCTTCATGGTCAGGCCCCTTCATATCTTAAAGAGCTCATAGTACCCTATTACCCCACTAGAACACTACGTTCTCTGAATGCTGGGCTACTTGTGGTTCCTATAGTCTCTAAAAGTAGAACAGGAGCCAGAGCCTTCAGTTACCAATTCAATTCAATTTAATTTTATTTGTATAGCGCCAATTCATAACAGAAGTTATCTCAGGACACTTTTCAAATAGAGCAGGTCTAGACCGAACTCTTTAACATTAATTACAGAGACCCAACAGTACCACCATGAGCAAGCACTTGGCGACAAGGGCAAGGAAAAACTGCCTGTTAAAAGGCAGAAACCTAGGACAGATCCTCCGGCTCTAGGTGGGTGGTCGTCTGTCTCGACCAGTTGGGGTGAGAGAGAGAGAGAGAGAGAGAGAGAGAGAGAGAGAGAGAGCGAGAGAGAGACAGACAGACAGGTGCACAGACAACAGTACAGACAGGTGCAGTCTAGCAGGACCATGCAGTCACTAGGATCAATGAGAACCTCAGTCAGAAAGCACAAGAACTCCGGGGAAGAAGGAACCAGCTTCCAGTTGTGGTTCGGGAGGCAGACACCCTCACCACATTCAAGAGTAGGCTTAAGACATTCCTCTTTGATAAAGCTTATAGTTAGGGCTGGATCAGGTGAGTCCTGAACCATCCCTTAGTTATGCTGCTATAGGCCAAGACTATCGGGGGATTTCCCATGATGCACTGAGCTCCTCTCTTCCTCTCTCTTTCTGCACTCATTCATGTTCCATTAATGCATGTTACTAACTTCACTTCTTCCCCGGAGTTCTTGTGCTTTCTCGTCTCGCAGGTTCTTATCGATCCTGGTGGAGCCTCCTGCCATGGTCCTGCTAGATTGCCGTTGCCAATACTGTTGTTGCTGTGCACCTGTCTGCCTCTCTCTCTCTCTCTCTCTCTCTCTCTCTCTCTCTCTCTCTCTCTCTCTCTCTCACCCCAACTGGTCGAGACAGACGACCACCCACCTAGAGCCGGAGGGTCTGTCCTAGGTTTCTGCCTTTTAACAGGCAGTTTTTCCTTGCCCTTGTCTCCAAGGTCTTGCTCATGGTGGTACTGTTGGGTCTCTGTAATTAATGTTAAAGAGTTCGGTCTAGACCTGCTCTATTTGTAAAAGTGTCCTGAGATAACTTCTGTTATGAATTGGTGCTATACAAATAAAATTGAATTGAATTGAATATCACCAATAATCAATATCACTATATAATCAATATCACCAATAATCAATATCACTATATAATCAATATCACCAATAATCAATATCACTATATAATCAATAAATAAAGTCCATAAATACAAATAAGCAGATTTAACAGGTCAGTCGCTGCAGTGTTTCAGTCTCTGTCCAACAGCAAGTGAATCAGGTCTGACTGAGGTCCTGGTCCTTCAGAGTCCTCCTTGTACAGGTCTGACTGAGGTCCTGGTCCTTCAGAGACCTTGTACAGGTCTGACTGAGGTCCTGGTCCTTCAGAGACCTTGTACAGGTCTGACTGAGGTCCTGGTCCTTCAGAGACCTCCTTGTACAGGTCTGACTGAGGTCCTGGTCCTTCAGAGTCCTTCTTGTACAGGTCTGACTGAGGTCCTGGTCCTTCAGAGACCTTGTACAGGTCTGACTGAGGTCCTGGTCCTTCAGAGACCTCCTTGTACAGGTCTGACTGAGGTCCTGGTCCTTCAGAGTCCTCCTTGTACAGGTCTGACTGAGGTCCTGGTCCTTCAGAGTCCTCCTTGTACAGGTCTGACTGAGGTCCTGGTCCTTCAGAGACCTTGTACAGGTCTGACTGAGGTCCTGGTCCTTCAGAGTTCTTCTTGTACAGGTCTGACTGAGGTCCCGGTCCTTCAGAGTCCTCCTTGTACAGGTCTGATTGAGGTCCTGGTCCTTCAGAGTCCTCCTTGTACAGGTCTGACTGAGGTCCTGGTCCTTCAGAGACCTTGTACAGGTCTGACTGAGGTCCTGGTCCTTCAGAGTCCTTCTTGTACAGGTCTGACTGAGGTCCTGGTCCTTCAGAGACCTCCTTGTACAGGTCTGACTGAGGTTCTCCTTCTGGGATCAATAAAGGATCTTATAATGTTTTATATATTTATAGTTGTATATAGTTAAACATATAAAGTATTTATTGTGTTTATATAATAATTATATCGTTATATAAGTGGGCGTGTTGTTCCTCTTCAGGTCGGTATTGATCTCCTGAGCAGGTACCGTAATAACTGATCACAGCTCATTGATCTCTTCTTCACTCGGTGGTTCAAACTGTTCTTCCACCAATAAATGATGAGACTGCAGGTAAGAGACACCAGAAGAAGAACTCGTGAGTAAAACTATACAAAAATAACTCTTAATGCAGTGTTTTATCCTCTCAGGAGCCAAACATGGCGGATAACTTTAATCTGCCGCTGCTAGTCTGAGTATTACGGTCATTCTAAACCACGCCCCCTCCCCTCTTTCTGTGCGCTGATTGGACCGCTCCCGTCACATGACCGGGGAACAGCGGAAGAAGCGGAGTCGGCAGCAGAAAGAAGAGTAAGGAAATAAACAAAATATAAACGATTCATTTTAAACGCGAATAAACACATTCGCTGTTTGTTCTCCGGTACCGGGTTGAACCTCGACGTCTTAGCTAACGGATCCGGTGCTG